ATGGGAGGGGCAGATATGGCAGGAGTAGGGGACCATATCATGTGCGGGGGGTGCGCACTCGCTGTTTGAGAGCAATTGCGCGCCCCGGTCCCCAAGACTCCACTCAGATACTAGGTGGCTTAGATACTCAGGACCTGGGCCTCCAGCTGATGTTATGCAATGCCAGGTCTGTGGTTAATAAGGCCCCCCTCATTTATGATCTTACATAGGAGGGGGGAGCGGACCTGGCAGCTATTACTGAGACCTGGTTGGGCCTGGAGGGAGGGGTCCCCCTGGTTGAGATGTGCCCACCGGGCTTCAAAGCATTTCATCAGCCGAGGGCGCAGGGGAGGGGCGGGAGGGTGGCAGTTATTATTAAAGAAGATCTTGGTTTGAGGGAAACCACTGTGCCACAGATTGCCAGATGTGAAACCCTCTTTGTGAGATGGGGTCATGGGGTTCAGATGGGCCTGTTGCTCACGTACCTGGCTCCCTGCCACGTGGCAATGGCCCTGCCCGAGCTACTCGACGTGATAGCCACGGTGGCAGTTGATACATCCAGGCTTATGGTCATGGGTGATTTCAACCTGCCATCCTTTGGTGAGACGTCTGAGATGACACGGGAGTTCATGGCTTCCATGTCGGCCATGGACCTGACTCAGTTAGTTCATGGCCCCACTCACGGGGCGGTCACACTCTGGACTTGATTTTCGTCTCTGGCCAGTGTTTGAGTGGCCTTGTTATAGGGGATATAGACATGGAACCCTTGTCATGGTCTGACCACTCACTCCTTCGCCTAGATCTTCGAACTGCTACACCCCGCCGCAGGAAGGCGGAGCCTACAAGATGGGTCCACCCCAGGTGCCTGATGGATTCTGATAGATTCCAGACGGAGCTTGGGCCATTTCCTGAGGTTCTAGCTCAGGGCTCAGTCGGGGACCTGGTGGTGGCCTGGGATCAGGCCGCTAGCGGAGCCTTAGATCGAGTCGTGCCTTTGCGGCCTCTGACCCGGTCCCGAGCTCTCATGGCTCCTTGGTTTACTGAGGAGCTGAGGGAGATGAAGCGCTGGAAAAGATGCCTGGAGAGTGGTTGGAGGGCCAGTCGTACCGAATCTGATCGAACACTGTTAAGGTTGCATATTAAGACCTACCTAGTGGTGATAAAAGCGGCAAAGTCCAATTACTTTTCCGCTCTTATTGCATCATCAGAGAATTGTCCGGCGGCCCTGTTCAGAGTGACCCGCTCCCTGCTTCAACCGGGAGTGCGGGAGGACCCTCTGGAGGGCAGGGCTGAGGATTTCGGACGGTATCTGTATGACAAAATCACTCAGATCCTGCAGGATTTGGACTCTGACTGGGTAGATCCGGGCAGGGTGACGAGGAATAGTTTTAAGAATGTTATCTGGGAAGAGTTTGACTCTGTGACTCCGGATGATGTGGACAGGATTTTGGGGAGACTTAATGCGACCACATGTTTACTGGACCCGTGTCCCTCCTGGTTAGTACTGGCTTCCCGGGAGGTCTCACGAGGCTGGCTCCAGGGAATTATCAATGCTTCGTTGAGTGAGGGTCACTTCCTCGCTACCTTGAAAGAGGCAGTGGTGAGGCCTCTCCTCAAGAAGCCCTCCCTGGATCTGGCAGTATTGGCTAACTATCATCCTGTCTCCAACCTTCGCTTTGTGGCGAAGGTTGTTGAGAGTGTGGTCGCACAACAGTTCCCACAATTCCTGGAGGAAACGTCGTATCTAGACCCGTTCCAGTCGGGTTTCAGGCCTGGGCACAGCATGGAAATGGCATTGGTCGCATTGGTTGATGATCTCTGGAGGGCTTGGGACAGGGGTTGCTCCTCTGTTCTGGTCCTCTTAGATCTCTCAGCGGCTTTTGATACCATCGACCATGGTATCATGCTGCACCGGTTGGAAGAGTTCGGGATGGGGGGCACCGTGTTACGGTGGTTCTCCTCCTTTCTCTCAGACCGGTCGCAGTTCGTGTTGGCAGGGGGGCAGAGGTCGACCTTGAGGCCTCTCATCTGTGGAATGCCGCAAGGGTCGGTCCTCTCGCCCCTTCTGTTCAATATTTATGTGAAGCTGCTGAGCGAGATCATCCGTGGCTTTGGGGTGAGATACCACCAGTACGCTGATGACACCCAGCTGTACATCTCCACCCCAGGCCACCCCAGCGATGCCCTTGAAGTGATGGCCCAGTGCCTGGAGGCTGTATGGATCTGGATGGGGAGGAACAAGCTCAAGCTCAACCCTTCCAAGACTGAGTGGCTGTGGTTCCCGGCATCCCGATATAGTCAGCTGACTCAATCGCTGACTATCGGGGGTGAGTCTTTGGCCCCCATTGAGAGGGCGCGCAATCTGGGAGTCCTCCTGGATATGCAGCTGTCTTTGGAGGAACATCTGATGGCTGTTGCCAGGGGGACCTTTTGTCAGGTTCGCCTGATTCGCCAGTTGCACCCCTTTCTTGATCGGGATTCCATGTGCAGTCACTCATGCTCTCGTCACCTCTCGCCTGGACTACTGCAACGCTCTCTACATGGGGCTCCCCTTGAGGAGCACCCGGAGGCTCCAACTGGTCCAGAATGCGGCCGCGCAGATAATTACAGGAGCTGCATGGCGCTCCCGCATAACACTGCTCCTGCGTGAACTGCACTGGCTCCCAGTGGTCTTCCGGGTGTGCTTCAAGGTGTTGGTTACCACCTTTAAAGCGCTCCATGGCATAGGACCTAGTTATCTCCGAGACCGCCTTCTGCCACCGACGACCTCCCATCGACCCGTGCACTCCCACAGAGAGGGCCTCCTCAGGGTGCCATCAGCCAAGCAATGCAGGCTGGTGACCCCCAGGGGGAGGGCTTCTCTGTGGGGGTTCCTACCCTCTGGAATCAGCTGCCCCCAGAGATAAGGAGAATCCAAGACCTCCGTGCCTTCCGCCATTCCCTTAAAACTTTCCTTTTCCAACAAGCCAGGCTGGCCTAACAATGCCTTTTAAATGATTTTAAATTTGTATGTTTCTTAAATTTTTTGGCCAAATGGAGACATTTCCTTTTAATTTGTTCTTAATGTTTATATTATGTGTTTTTATCTGGCTGTACACCGCCCTGAGTTCTCAGGAAGAAGGGCGGTATATAAATTCAAAGTAAAATAAAATAAAATAAACAATCTGGGTCCTCATTTTATCCACCTTGGAAGGATGGAAGTCTGAGTCAACCTTGAGCCGGTGAGATTTGATCCACTGATCTGCTGAACTAGCAGTCAGCTGAAGTAGCTGAATATGCTGAAACAGCTAAATAATAGATGAATATGCCAGAAAACAGTCAAAACAATAGATGGAGATATTTTTTTTTCTGGGTGTGATAGTAAAATAAAGACGAATATGCTGGGAGCCAACAAATATGAATATGCTGGGAAACAGCCAAATAACATGAATATGCTGGGAAACAGCCAAAACAATAGATGATTATGCTGGGAAACAGCCAAAAGAAGATGATCAAGAGATAAATAGTTAAAATAAATATGACTTAAGTTGGAATTGATGGTAATAATGAATAGTAAAATGAAGATGATAAGATTGTAATAATGAAATGATTCTGTGTAAAATGAAGAGTGTAATGTGTGATAAGATTAAGAAATATAGTTGTAAATTAAAAGAGATTAGGATTTTAAGATTTATTGTAATGGGTCCTAGGTTATGAGTATATAGATAGAATTTAAGGATAATATTTGTAATTAAATATTGAGTTGTGTTATTTGGAAATTAAGATTTGTGGTGATACAATAGTAAGGTAAATGTTTAGACTAAGATATCATAATTGTGGGGGGAAAAGTTGTATTAGTTTTTGCTTTAAAAGATGTAATGGTGGAGATTTGGGAAAGAGCTTGACAAAGAGGGATAAGCGATTGTACCTATTCATGACCAGATCAAAGCTCCATTCTTAAAAGATGTATTTTATGTTTTTGTTGTTAAAAATAATTTCAAAAATTTCAAAAAAAAAATACACTAAGTGTATATATAAGTTGTGTTTGTTGAAAATTTTCCTGAACTTTTCAGATATTCCTGAAATGTATGGAATGACAACATTGCTAGAGGGGTTCTCTAGTTCTGAACCAGATGTTAATATTTAATGGGAAAGGAATTTTGTTCCATTCTGTTAAAATGGAGGATTTTTTAAAAGCATGAAGCAAGAGGGAAAATTGGAATCTAGCAGGATTTTGGTGATATCATTGTCTTCAATATGATCATAGAGGGTTTCTCTCTCCAAATCCTTGAACTAAGCAGGACTGCCTTTAGGCTAGGATTGGCTTGCTAGGTATGTATAAAACTCAGTAATCATTTGGTGAATCAAGGGATTTGATTCAAATTGCTAGTTTAAAGGGCATATGTTGACAAACTTCAAATGCAGTTTATATTAAAATCATTTTGTCCAGGCAGCAATAGGGATATAGGTTATTCTCAAGGTTCTGACTTCTCACATCTCTCCTAGAAACCCAGCAAATTAAGTTTACAAAACTGACTTTTGCAGCTGAATTCTGCTGAAAAGACTGATTCCAAAACTGAAGATTAGTAATAAAAAGGGGGGCTAATTTATATGTCAGAACTGCAACTGGTACTTGGATACTTGGTAGGTGAAGAATAATTTACTTTATAGATCTGCACCTTCCTTATACTCTAATAAAGACTTTCCATTTTTCATGTTTGGGTAAAGTAGTGTTACTGCCCAACAATAACTGGGTAATGTGCCAAGTATTAGCTATGGATGTGACTAGATAATAATGTGATTGCTAACTGTGTATATTACTCTGAATCACTGTTGCCTCTTTGGTTTTCAGTCTGTGTGAGAAGATGAGAGAAGATACTTATATTAGTTTAATTATGTCCCATGATAACAACCAGGATTAGAATCTTTCAACTATTTAACCTATGCCCTGTCAAGCACTTCCTGGTCTTGAATAACATACTATACTGTAAGGATCGCCTCTCCTTCCATCTTAAGAAAGTACGAACACTTGAAACGTAGTTGTTCAAAAGGATTCTTTTATTAAGCAGAAGTGAAAACCATCCAGCTAAAGCACAATCTGAATGCCCTTAGGCAAAGCAGTAGGATTAAAGTGGTAGAGACCCCTCCCTTTAGGTCAGATTGCAGATTTCAGCCAATACACAAGTGTGAAGATGTTTTCTTTACTATTTCCTTTGAGAACCCGAACAAACATGCATTCCCACCACTTCCCTTTAAAGTGAGACAACCCACATGGCTATCATATAAATTCCTTCAGGTAAAGGGAATCTCAGGCTTCCTTGGCGCCAGGATATAGGTCGTAAAATATCTGATGACACAGGCCATGCTAGTAAATCGAATCCAAGTCCCCCCTTCCTTCACTTGAATTCATCTAGGCACTTTCCTTCACTTGAATGGCAGTATCACTTTTAGGGATCTGACATGCTACCCTCCTTAGAAAACAAAAGGGTCCACCTGTAAAAAAAACAAAACACAAATATACACAAGATTTCAAGATTTCATGATAGTAGATCAACAAGGTTTGTTAGGGTATTGGGAGTGAAATTTTCTCAGTAAGATTGGAGCCCTAATGTGGTATTTGGCGACCCATTCATTGTGTGCTGATGGTAAATGTTTCCAAGCAACTAAGTATTGGACTTTCCCTCTGTGGATCCTAGAATTAAGGATTTCCTTGATTTCAAAGTGTTGTTCACCTTCAATCATGATGGGAACAGGTGGTGTAGATGCAGGTTGTCTGAGGAATGAGATTACTTCTCGTTTGAATAAACTGATATGGAATACTGGGTGGATCTGCCTGAGTGTCTTTGGAAGAAGTAGTTCAACTGCTACTGGATTGATGATTCTAGTGATGGGGAAAGGTCCAATGAACTTTGGCCCTAGTTTCTTTGATGGTTGTAATGATTTCAAGAATTTTGTAGATAAGTATACTCTGTCTCCAATATGAAAAGGTTTGGGTTCCATCCTTTTCTTGTCAGCTTGAATCTTAAAAGCTTCTCTAGCTTCCTGTAAGGCTAATCTAACCACGCCTTAAGTGAGGGGATGGTGGGTTCTTCTGTGGGTAGTTCAGGCTGGGGCTGAAATCCTGGCCTGTTGCTACTCTAAAAGGGGTAAAACCAGTTCTTGAATGTACAGCATTATTAAACGCAACTTCAGCAAAAGGCAAAAGTTCGGTCCAGTTATCCTGTTGAAAATTAATAAAACATCTTAAATATTGTTCTAGTACCGAGTTCAAAATTTCAGAATTACCATTAGTACACGGATGAAAAGATGTGCTCAACCCCTGGCCAGTACCAAGTAAGCCCAAAAACGCCCTCCAAAAGTTGGAGGTGAATTGAGCCCCTCTGTCGGAGATGATCCTTTGTGGAGCACCATGAAGTCAATAAATATGTATTAGGAATAGTTTGGCTAAACTTTTAGCAGTTGGGATCTTTTGGCAGGGTATAAAATGTGCCTGTTTTGAAAATAGGTCTGTCACAACCCAAATAACAGTATTTCCCTCACTGTTTGGCAATTCCACGATGAAATCCATAGCGATCTCTCTCTAAGGTGCTGCAGGTTCAGCTACCTTCTGCAATAGACCTGGGGATTTCCCCTGGCGTCTTTTAGCTGCTGCACAAATGGGGCAGCTAGCTACATAGCTTTCTATGTCCTTTTTTAGTGATAGCCACCAAAATTGTCTTTTAATCAGGTGTAAAGTTTTCACAAACCCAAAATGTCCAGCTAATTTGGAGTCATGGCACCGTACCATTAAGCATAGTCTTTGGCTTGCAGGGACATACAACTTCCCCCCCACCCAAGCCAAGTCTTCTTTCATCAGACAGCTGGATTTGTTGTTCAAAAACCATTCATCAGTGGCCAATGCTTGTTTAAAATTTTGGGTGATGTCATTGTCTGTCACTGTTTCTTGTTTTTCCTGGGATCTGGTGACTACTTTAGCAGCTAGTTGACTGTTTTGTACTTTAGGTTTGATTACATCTAACCTTGCACGAATGTATTGCGGTTTTCTGGATAGCGCATCCACCAGAAAGTTTCCCCCCCCCGGGAGGTATTTTAGAGTAAAATCAAACCGTTTAAAGTACTGAGCCCATCGTACTTGCTTTGGGGAGAGTTTCCTTGGGGTCTTTAGGGCTTCTAGATTTTTATGATCAGTCCAGACTTCAAAAGGGGTCTTACTGCCTTCTAGGAAGTGCCGCCAGGTTAACAATGCCCAACAAACTGCATACGCCTCTTTCTCCCAAATAGCCCACCTTTGCTCAGTCTCATTCAACTTTTTGGATGTGTAAGCGCAGGGTTGTAGTTGGTCTTGCTCATTCTTCTGAAGCAGGACCGCTCCTATTCCCACATTGCTGGCATCTGCTTGTATGACAAATGGTTTCTCCGTGCCCGGGTGTTGTAGAATTGGTTCTGCTGAGAACAGCCGTTTAAGTTTTTCAAATGCTGCCTGGCATTCCATAGTCCAGTTCAATGGTTGCTTTGGTTTAGGGTTGTCCTCCCCCTTTGTTTTTAAGAGCTTGGTGATGGGGAGGGCAATCTGAGCGAACGCAGGGATAAACTGGTGGTAAAAGTTGGCAAACCCCAGGAAGCTCTGTAACTGTTTACGTGTGCGTGGAGGGTCCCAATCAAGTACAGCCTGCACTTTTAGAGGATCCATCTCAACCCCCTGGTGTGAAATGCGGTATCCCAAATAGTCAATCTTCTCTTGATGGAATTCACATTTGGAAAGTTTGGCATAAAGTTTGGCAGCGCGGAGTTTGTTTAAAACTGCCCTGACTAGTTTTACATGTTCTGCTTTGGTCTCGGTAAAAATTAAAATGTCGTCCAAATAGACCAGCACCCCCTTATATAAATGCTGATGCAGCACTTCATTTATTAACTGCATAAACACTGCAGGGGCTCCTTGTAACCCAAAGGGGAGCACCTTGAATTGGTAGCAGCCGAGGGGGGTGTTAAATGCCGTTTTCCACTCATCCCCTTCCTTAATTCTGACATGGTAGTAAGCCTCCCTTAAGTCCAGCTTTGAAAAAATTTTCCCTTCAGCGAGGTGTGCTAACATATCTTTCATAAGGGGGAGAGGATACATGTTCTGCACACTGATAGTATTAAGGTTTCGATAGTCAACACATAAGCATTTTGAACCATCTTTTTTCTCTCTAAACAACACTGGGGCTGCAATTTTTGGTCGGGCTGGCTCGATGAAACCCCTTGCTAGGTTTTTCTCAATGAATGTTCTCAGCTCTTCCAACTCCCTCGGTGACATGCTATACATCTTGGGTTTAGGGAGTTTCGCACCGGGTAAAATTTCTATTGCACAGTCAGTGGCACGGTGGGGGGGGGGGAGCTTATCTGAGGCTTTTTCGCTAAAAACCTCAGCTAAATCCTTGTATTCTATGGGTATGCCCTCAGTTGGTGTGGCATGACCAGGCATGGCTGTTTCTCGATTCTCTGCCCCCTCAAGTCCTTTATGTGGATACTCAGCAAAAGTCACCTTCCTCTGAAATTTTATGATGCCTTGTTTCCAATTGATTTGTGGGTTCCATCTTTTTACCCACGCAAGGCCCAGAACCAACGGCCATTCCATGCCAGGTGCCACTATAAAGGTAAGCCTTTCCTCGTAGCTTCCAATGCCTATATGTAGAGGCACAGTGGCCAGAGAAGCTGGCTCCCCTCCTGCTATTGACCCATCTAGTTGGCAGAAAGCAATGGGGGTTTTCAGCTTTCTTACGTTAATCCCTAACTTCCCTACTAAGGTTGGGCTGATCAAACAACGGGTGCACCCCAAATCCACTAGGGTGGGGATACTTATCTCCCTGTCCTGGTTTGGGATAAATAGTCTTAAGGGGAGGGTAAGCGGTTTAATTGGTTTGCTTACCAGTGGCTCATCATCTGGATCGCTTCCGAACGAGTGTGATTCCTCCTGTTCAGATGCCAGGGTTTCTTCCCCAAAGAGGGGAGGGGATGGGACTTCTATGGTCTCCCTGCTCCTCAGGGCAGTCTCCTTCCCACGCCGACCCGGTTTTCAAGGACCCTCCCCCGGTGGGTGGTTCCGGGCGGGTGTTTGCGAATGACACTCTGAAGCTCGGTGCCCTTCTTTTCCACACTTGAAACAGGCTGAAGATCTCGGGGAGAATGCGGTTTGTGGTTTGTGGGGCTCTTGCTTCCATTGGGGTGAGATTTCTTCCATGCTCGCCCCGCTCGATACTGGTTTCTGGCCATATCGATCTCAGCTTCTTCGGTGGTGACATACCATTCATGTAGGTCATTCAGTGCCCCTCGGGCCACGCAGGCATTGTATAGATCATCACTCAGTTCGTCCTTGAAAAGCTCACCAAAATATCTTCCGGCCAATGCACATGACACGCGAGGTCCCGGAATTCTTCAGTATACTCTGCTACTGGCCGTCGCCCCTGCCTCACCACCTTAATGCGGTCACGTGCTTTGCGATCTGCCAGTGGGTCCTCGAACCGACGTCGCAGGGCCATCATGAAATGGTCGAAATTCCGCAGTTCTGGTGCATTGGCATTATGTAGGGTCACCATCCATCTGGCTGCGGCACCCTCTAGGGCTAGGGTCACAACTCGCACTCGGGAACCTTGGGTTTGGAAATCACGCCCATACTCTTGCATGTAGGTGAGCACATGTGCCACAAAGAATCCTAATTGTTGCGGATTCCCATCAAACTTCACCCCAAGAGGGGGAGTTTCTCTTTCCAGCTGAGGAGCCCGGGGTTGGTTGGGAACGGGCGCCGGTGTGCATGCTGCCTGGAGGGGAGGGTTTGCTGGGTCTTCTCCCACAGCTACTGCACCATCTGCTCGATAAGCGGCCTCCAGGAGGGGGGTGCCTCCCCTGCCATCATCCATGACTGCTGCCCTTTCAGTGCTCTTTGGTTGTTGTCCTGGCTCCCTTCGGATGTTAAGATTTTCCAAAGTCTCCATCACCAATTGGGTTATATGCCTCTTCAGATAGTCCTCCCTCAGGGGTGCTTTGATCAGCCCCCCCTGGTCAGTAAGGGCTTCTAGTTCCAGTTTTCACCCCGGTTTTCGGTTGCCACAGTTGAGGGTGACTCCTCTGGTTCTCTCATCCCAGCCATCTTTCTTCCCAATGCCAATTGACCAGTGGGGCTTTTCAGGATTCTCCAGGGTTACCTCATCCTCTCCGATGGGTTGCACGAGACAGGCATCCGACTGGGTGGCGGTTGCTGTCTCTCCCCAGCAATCGGTTTCTTCCAGCTCTCTGCTTTGTTCAGACATGGTTTGCAAGGTCCCCTCAGTAGAGCAAAGATTGCTTCTCTGGGTTGACCGTTTTGCAGATTGTGCTTTCTGTAAGGATCGCCTCTCCTTCCAACTTAAGAAAGTACGAACTCTTGAAACGTAGTTGTTCAAAAGGATTCTTTTATTAAGCAGAAGTGAAAACCATCCAGCTAAAGCACAATCTGAATGCCCTTAGGCACAGCAGTAGGATTAAAGTGGTAGAGACCCCTCCCTTTAGGTCAGAATGCAGATTTCAGCCAATACACAAGTGTGAAGATGTTTTCTTTACTATTTCCTTTGAGAACCCGAACAAACATGCATTCCCACCACTTCCCTTTAAAGTGAGACAACCCACATGGCTATCATATAAATTCCTGCAGTAAAGGGAATCTCAGGCTTCCTTGGCGCCAGGATATAGGTTGTAAAATATCTGATGACACAGGCCATGCTAGTAAATCAAATCCAAGTCCCCCCTTCCTTCACTTGAATTCATCTAGGCACTTTTGAATGATACTAGCAAATCTGACAATATTCTTCTTTGGTTTGAATGCTGAAGGAAACAAATTCCACTCTGGGTGAAACAGCTTTTTTTTTTCTTCATGGAGTCAGAACAGCTTCTGACTCCATGAAGTACTTCATTGTTTGAATCATTTTTATATAGCAGAAAATAAGGAATATGGTAAAGGAAAAATCTAGCAGAATCAACACACCTTTGGCAAGTTAAAAATCCACTGACAGGAAACATTTAGAAGCTGATTTATTAACATACCAAAGTAGCTTGATTTTAGACTGATGTCCCTCAACCAGATTATATATAACTAAAAAAGAAAGTCAGTGAAGACTCTGTATAATCATTTCACTGATATTTTTTATTAATCTTTATAGTATACTGATACCTTTACATATCTTTATCATGTTCCTTTTTCTGTAGGACTTGTTAATATAGAATGGCAAGTCACATTTACACCTGAAGAATATTCAGATTTACATAACATTTTATCCAAAATGGCTTGCTGCTTTTGTGTCCTGATTGTGTAAAACAGCTTTACTGTTAGATTTTAAACTATCATTATTTTAACAACAACAACAACATAAACATAAACAACAACAACTATTATTATTATTATTGGTTGGTCCAGAACACAGCCGCGCGAGCTGTCGTGGATGCACCTAGGCACACCCACATTACACCAATTCTCTGTGAGCTGCACTGGCTCCCTATTGGTCTCTGGTCACAATTCAAGGTGTTGGTTATTACCTTTAAAGCCCTACATGGCTCAGGGCCAGGTTATCTTCGAGACCACATTCTACCACATAACTCCCAACGACCGGTAAGATCCCACAGAGTTGGTCTCCTCCAGGTCCCGTCAGCTAAACAATGCCGGCTGGCGGGCCCATGGGGGAGGGCCTTCTCTGTGGCTGCCCCAGCTCTCTGGAACCAGTTACCTCCTTAGGTCCAGACCATCCCCACCCTATTGGCCTTCTGAAAAGCGGTGAAGACCTGGCTTTTCTGGCAGGCCTGGGGCCGTTGATCTCGCTCTTGTGATCTGGCGAGATCCGGCCATGAATGGTGTGAATGAGTTTTTAATGTTTTTAATTTTTCAATGTCTTTTTATAATGATTTTTTAAATGTATTGTGAGCCGCCCTGAATCTTCAGAGAGGGGCGGCATATAAATTTAATTAATTAAATTAAATTAAATTAATAATAATAAATTTAAAAAAAGAAAGAAAAGAATTACAAATGCCATTTCATCTTGACAGGCCTCCTGGATGTAAAATGCATTTAAGACTTTTATGCAGTTGATTTTCACTTCATGTCCAGACAATATTTATAGGATTGCATATATGCTGTCCTTAAAAATGGCTGGTAGTTTATAAAGACAAGCTTATTACATGTGCTATTCTTTTGGGAATATGATTTTTAAAATGTTGGATATAGCCAACTATGAAGAAAGAAATTTCCTAAACTCATAGAAAAATTAATTATGGCTTATTAAAGCAGAGCTAAAATTTTCAAGCAAACCATTTAGTTAGGACAGACCAGATAATTAGAAGAATGTTTATATATAGCTTGTCTATTGAAAGACGTTAAATCAGGACACAGGAAGGTAGAAGATTCTTGAAAAAGCCAAATGGTTGGATGACGTTTTCTAGCCTTGGAACAGACTTTGGAGTAGGAGTATTTTAATATACAACTGTATTAAAACCCTAACTTTTAGAGAAGTCCACAGGAGAGAAGGGCTATTTAAAACTGAACATTGCCCACATAGAAAATGAGCTAAATTTGCAACTCTCCAAAAAATTTAATCCCAAATAAAAAGGTGGGCAGAAAACAAGTATTAAGTATCTATTCATAAATGCAGAACTAAAGGATTCTATGTTTTCTCAGCCAAATTCAAAAATTATTTCCCTGCTTTGTTACTTTAATTTAAAAATTAAAGAAATCATCCTTTCTTTCAATTCTTGAGCCTTCTGGAAAGTACTAAACAGTCTATAAAATATTAAAATATCCAGTTAAAGTAGATAGACAATGTTCTTTATTTATTTGTTAAATTTATACCACACTTTTTGCTCAGGAGCCCAAGTCAGCATATGTTATTTATAATATTACATAAGGTCTCTATATCGAAACAATACAATGTAGCAAGATCATATCATATCAATAAGAAAACCAATGGCATACCTGGTACTCCTCCTATTTTTCCTGCAATTGCAATTCTGTGAAGATCCCTAAAAGTGATACTGCCATTCAACCTTGGGAGAAGGGGGTACTTGGATTCGATTTACTAACATTGCCTATGTCAACAGATACAACCTATATCCTGGCGCCAAAGAGCCCTGAGATCCCCTTTCTGAAACTCTGTTTCAAGAGTTTTTACTTTCTTAAATTGAGAGGAGATGCAATCCTGACAGAAAGCAAGGTCTGCAAAACGGTCAACCAAGAGAAACAATCTTTGCTCTACTGAGGGGACCTTGCAAACCATGTCCAAACGAAGCAGAGAACTGGGAGAGGCCAATTGCTGGGGGGAGACAGCAACCGCCACCCAGTTGTTTCGTACACCTGTTTCGTACACCCCATCGGAGAGGATGAGGTAACCTTGGAGAATCCTAAAAAGCCCCGCTGGTCAATTGGCATCGGGAAGAAAGATAGCTGGGATGAGAGAACCAGAGGAGTCACCCTCAGCCGTGCAACTGAAAACCGGGGTGGAAACTGGAACTAGAAGCCCTTGTTGACCAGGGGGAACTAACCGAAGCACCACGGAGGGAGGATTGTCTGAAGAGGCATATAACCCAATTGGTGATGGAAACTTTGGAAAATTTCAACATCCAAGGGGAGCCAGGACGACAACCAAAGAGCTCTGAAAGGGCAGCAGTCATGGAAGATGTCAGGGGAGGCACCCCCTTCTGGAGCCCGCCTATCGAGCAGATGGTGCAGCAGCAGTGGAAGAAGACTCAGCAAACCCTCCCCCACAGGCAGCACTGGTGCCCATTCCCAACCAGCCCCGAGTCCCACAACTGGAAAGAGAAACTCCCTCCCTTGGGGTGAAGTTTGATGGGAATCCGCAACAATTAGGATTCTTTGTGGCACACATGTGCACCTACATGCAAGAATACAGGCGTGACTTCTAAACCCAAGGCTCCCGAGTGCAAGCCCTAGAGGGTGCCGCTGCTAGATGGATAGTGACCCTGCATAATGCCAATGCACCAGAACTGCGGAATTTCAACCATTTCATAATAGCCCTGCGATGATGGTTTGAGGACCCACTAGCAGATCGCAAAGCACGCGACCACATTAAGATGGTGAGGCAGGGGCGACGGCCAGTAGCAGAGTATACTGAAGAATTCTGGGACTTC